ATATATATATATATATATCAATCACTTATTAACCTTTGCTTTTGATAGGTAATACAAATAGAAGAATTTTATTACTTGAGTATCTTACTGCTTTTTTGTGTTTGGCATCTTGAATCAGAGACAGAATTGTAAAAGCTCCAGTCACATAATGTTTTGTCTCTGAGTGAAGGTTGTTGAGCTCTTTCAGAAGTTTTTGAAGTTTGGGTATTTCTGTTGATAATAATTGAATAATTCATTTTAACATTAATTGTAATAAAAATAGCCATTATTTGAAATTAAACTAGACTGCAACAGCAGCATTTGATATCTGCTTTATGTCTAGTACATGCTCATATCAGGGAACTTCACCTACCAGTTTCTTCTGGATCTAGATGCTCTTTTTGTAGGAACTCACGGGAGCTCACTGTGAACACTTCGAAACAGTTATCACTGAAGGGTTTCTGGAGAAAATTGAATACATTTTAAAGCTTTCTTGCTATTGTTTTTGGGTTAGATTTTCACTCTACCTATAAAACTCACCTTCTTATTTTTTATTTTTTGCTTTACTTGTTCCTTGGCTTGTGTGTTTCTGTTAACTATGAGTTTATGGACTTCACCTGGCAAACTATAAGAATACATGTGTGTTACCCAGCATTAAATCACTGAGAGAAATGCCAGCACATTCTTGTTGGTGATTGATATACTATTTTTCCTAAAACTTTATAGACCCTGTACAAAGGCTATCATGCCACTGTCTGCCTCCATGCCTCTTTCTTCACTTTTTTCTCTTTTACCTCTCATTGCTCTCCAGCTGTTCCTCACCCTTGTCTTTCTTTCTCTCACTGTGTGTAATGGGAAGGCCACTATGAGGTTTTGGTGGCATGACCCCAGTCAGCTCTTGGCTGGTACACCTGCCTCCAATCTATGTAATGTGGTAGTCAAACTCAAAAATCTCTGTTTTCCATGTCCTGGGCTCCCCTCAGTTAGCCAGACAGTCTGTTGCATATCTCTGTCACTCTCTTTGAATCAAACTTTCCCTTTGTAATCCATTCTCTGAGATTTTTTTAAGGAAATGTTTCCCTGCACTGCCATTGCTAACTTAACTCTCTTCTTGCCAAGGAATTCTCCACCCACTGGTTCAATAAACGTGCTAAACTTGTACCTGCCTCTGAGTCTGCTCACTATTAATATTCATGTTTTTGAGATTTGTCTCATCTTTAAGGAATTACCCTGCACCTAGATACAACATGCTTTACTATCTAATTTCTTTTCTTCTTCTTCTTCTTTTTTTTTTTAAATTCTTGACATCTTAATTTACTTACCGGCCATGTGAAATTCCAGTTACATCAGACTTGGAGCAAATAAAGCAAATACGCTGGCACTCGCCACCATTTCCAATGAACCTACTGACACGGCTCAAGATTTTCCAGGCTGTCTCTTTAGATGCTGCTCTTTTAATCTCAGTCACAATCCACACAACGCAACACTCACCAACAATCTGAAATGGAATAATAGTCATATTAAAAATTAATCGTTAATCATCAATTATTGACAAGATGCCATTTCTGGTTCAAGATAACAAAGCAGTAAAAGTGAATAAATGACCCTTTTCCACATTTCATCTCTGCTCTTGTTACAGTCACCACTTCCAGGAAGGTCCACAAGTGTGACATGCTGGAGAAGATCCTTATTTGGCACCTTGACAGTCACACACTTCACTATTGGCCAATAGTACCTCTTTCCTTTTTTGCTCTGAGAAGGTAAGGGGCTATTCATTGTGTATGGGGTAAGTTTGCCAGATAAGTCCATAGCCTGCAATAAAAAAAGACATGAATGTATAGTGCCCCTTCAACATCACAATAACCAGGCTAACTGGTTAGAAATCCTGTAGAAATCCCAGAGAATGTCAGAGAGTCAGTATTTTTCAACAACAGGTCCTGAAACTATGTCTATAATCAAGTACTGCACTAATTGTAATGAAGATTCAGTTTCTGAAATTGAGTATGAGTTTCCAAATGCAGAGCACCACTGTAACTTAACACAACACTTATCACCTTGAATTGTTTAAATATCCTGTCTAGGAAGTAAACCAGATTTTGCACAGCCAATGCTATCGTCAAGATAACGTCATAGTGATAATTTCCAATAGTAAAACAGTCAAACAAAAATCTTCACTTAATAAACATTCCTTTTCTAATGCTGTTAGAGTCAAATTGTTGAATGTTGTCATTGTGTTTCTTAAATATGTAAAGTCTTAGCTTAAACTGTGTGATCAACGACATTCCTTTGTCTGGACATTCCAGACAGTTAAGGGTTTGGGGGGGGGGGGAGCTGTAGTGTTTTATCACAGATACATCCCATGTGAAGGTTCTGTTTGATGTTTGGTAAGCTTCCTGCCCTTTTATGGCTTCACCTATGTTGTGTATGGTGAACCAATACAGGAATTGAGCCACATATTGGGTGTGGGGGAGATTACCCTCTTTATGACCAAGGATGTTGTTAAAAACAGTTGTGATCAGGAGGACACACACACACATACACACACACACACACACACACACACACACGTGCTTACACATACACACACACATACACACACACACACAGTGCCTTATCTTTGTAACCAAGGGAGGTTTTACGGTGGAAGGTGCTTGTGTTGTGTTATGTTGTGTAAATTGTAATGGAAATAAAAAGGCTACGAGGAGGGCTGCTCTTTGAAGGACTTGGACCAAGAAGGACTGACCAAGCTTCCCTCGTTAGCGAGTA